CTTCAGAGGAACTTGAGTCATTCCTGCCGGAACTCGTCATTCCCGCACACTTCATGAACTATGTGACGTTTGTTGCTGGCAGCAACAGCAGAACGTTGCCAGTGAACCATGAGTTGGTATTGCAGTATGCACGCGGCAAGGCAGCGTATCCGGTGATTGAGAGGGTGAACAACATCTTGACAAGAGATGAGGCTCTTGCCGAAGCTGACAAGTGCCGCACAGCAATGGTGGCTGAGTTGGGCCGCTGGCAGAAGCACGACGCTTGGCGACGCAGGCCACGTTCTGATTGCACCAATCCTCTGACTTCGAAGTGGGTCTTGAAGTGGAAGGACATGAAGTCAGGTCGTGATATCAAAGCGAGGCTTGTGGCGCAGGGGCTTAAGGACCAACAACGCACCGACAACTTTGCGGGCACAACGTCACGTTGGGGTCAGCGCTTGGTAGTGATCTTCTCAGCTCAGTTTGGTTGGCAGTTGGTATCCGCAGATGTGAGCGAAGCCTTTCTTAGAGGACTCACTTTCCGTGAAGTTTTCGAGGAAGGTTACAGTGCAGAAATGCGGACAGTACAACTTCTGCTTCCTCCAGGCACAGACGAGCTTTTGAGAGCACTGCCGGGAATGGAAGACTTTGACAGCTCAATGGAGTGCCTTGAGTTGCTCAAACCAGGTTTTGGCTTGCGGGACGCACCTCGTCTGTGGAACCTGGCGGTGTCACGTGTGTTGGCAAAAGCAGGAATGAGACCTCTCAGCACCGACAAGCAGCTGTATGTCAAACACTCTTCGGAGGGCGCATTACAGGTTCTTCTATCAGTCCACGTTGACGACCTCAAAGCAACGGGGCTGCAGAAAGAGATAGAGCTTGTTCTCGAGACGCTTAGCCGAGAATTTGATCAGCTGAAACTGGATCGGGACAACTTCACTCATCTCGGGATTCGGCATGAGACCCGGGAAGATGGAAGTCGTGTGCTTAGTCAGGACCACTACGTGTCTGAGCTGAAGCCAATGAAGGAACGACAAGGTCGATGCCGAGACAGCCTCTGCAAATCGCTCTTTGCTTGGCGGCGTTGCATGGGTGGTTCAGACGCGTCCAGACATAGCAGTGTATGTGTCGGCGTTGCAGCGACATCTTCAGGAACCGGCAAAGCAGCATGTGGTGGACTTGAAAAGAGTGCTCCGGTACTTGAAGCTCAATCCTCAAGGCATGATCTTTCGCAAGGTTTCCTCACCTTGGATGTTGGTTGCAGTGTCGGATAGCGCCTATAAGTCAGACACACAAGATTGCCTTGCAATGCGGAGTGGGGTCATCATGCTCATGCGCAGACAGCCATTTGGGTGCGGCGATCACACAGTGCAAGTGATAGACTTTGTGGCGAAGAAGCAAAACAGAGTTTGCCGCAGCACTTACGTTGCAGAGCTTTACAGTCTTCTGGACCTGGTCGGTCATGCGCTGAACGTAAATTTGGCCTTGACGGAGATCCTCACGGGTCTCTTGGAAGCGCACGAAGGTGGCAAACATGCTCTTCGTCTCAATGCTGTTATTGACGCGAGGTCAGTTTTAGACAGTGTATCTGGAGCAGAGGTGAAGGTGCCCACCGACCAGGGTATGCTCATTCACGCCTTGAGGCTGCGTGAACTCTTGCAGACGCAGGTGGAGACGCTTTGGTGGGTGGACACTCGAGATATGTTAGCAGATGGCTTGAACAAGGGGAGCATCGATCGCACCCCTCTCAGGCAGCTTTCAGCAATGGGCCTCTGGCGAATTTTAGTGCCTCCGGCTCAGGCCGCCGACATTACAGGCCTGCTTTCTTATTTGCGTCCCTTTGGAATTGTCCCCTTGCCCCCTTCCCCTCTGAGATTTTTGCCCCCCTTTCTTTGTTGAGATCCATTCCCCCTTTCCGCCCGAAGGCCTTTTCTCCCTCTGTTTTTCCTTTTTCCTCCCTAAGATGTTTTCACCGCTCTGCCTGTTGAGATCCTTTCCCCCCTTCCCCCCTAAGGCCTTTTCCCCCTCAGATCTTCTCCCTAAGATCTCCCAGATCGTCTCCCTTTCAGGGAGAAGATCTGGGAGAAAAGGACTTAGGGGGGAAAGCCCAACAGGGAAAGGGGGGAAAAGATTTAGGAAGGAAAAGGGAGAAGCTCTCAGGGGAAAGGATCTCAGCGGGGGGGGGGGAAGATCTTAGGGAAGAAGATCTGGGGACAAAGGCCTTAGGGGGGAAAGGGGAGAAATGATCTCAACAGGGAAAGGGGTGGAAAAGATCTTAGGGCGGCAAGGGAGAAGATCTGGGAGAAAAAAGGCCAACAGGGAAAGGGGGGAAAGACCTAAGGAAGGAAAAGGGAGAAGCTCTCAGGGGGGGGAAAGGCCTGAGGGGGGAAAGGGTGGGAAGGATCTCAACAGGGAAAGGGGGGAAGCAATCTTAGGAAGGAAAGGGAGAAGTTCTGGAAAGGCCTTAAAGGGAAGGGGGGAAAGGATCTCAACAGGGAAAGGGGGCAAAGGATCTTAAGGAGGAAGAGGAAGAAGATCTCAGCGGGGGGAAAGGCCGTAGGGGGGAAAGAGGGGAAAGGATCTCAACAGGGAAAGGGGGGGAAAGATCTCAGTGAAAAAGGGAGAAGGTCCCAGGCAGGGAAAAGGCCTTAGGGGGGAAAGGGGGAAAGGATCTCAACAGGGACAGGGGGCAAAGGATCTTAGGGAGGAAAAGGGAGAGGATCTGAAAAGGCCTTAGGGGGAAAAGGGGGGAAGGAGCTCAACAGGGAAAGGTGGGAGAAGATCCTAGGGAGGAAAAGGGAGAAGATCTCGGGGGAAAAGATCTTGGGGAGGACAAGGGAGAAGATCTCAGGGGGGGGAAGGCCTTAGGGGGGAAAGGGGGGAAAGGATCTCAACAGGGAAAGGGGGCAAAGGATCTTAGGGAGGAAAAGGGAGAAGATCTTGGGGGGGAAAACGCCTTAGGGGGGAAAGGGCGGGAAAGGATCTCAACAAGGAAAGGGGGGAAAAGATCTTAGGAAGGAAAAGGGGGAAGATCGCAGGGGGAAAAAAGGCCTTAGGGGGGAAAGGAGGGAAAGGATCTCAACAGGGAGAGGGGGGAAAACATCGTGGGGAGGAAAAGGGAAAAACTCAGAGGGAGAAAGGGCCTTAGGGGGGAAAGGGGGGATGGATCTCAACAGGGAAAAATGGCAAAAGATCTTAGGGAGGAAAAGGGAGAAGATCTCAGGGGGGGAAAGGCCTTAGGGGGGAAAGGGGGGAAAGGATCTGAGCAGGGAAAGGGGGGGAAAGATCTTAGGGAGGAAAGGGAGAAGATCTGGGGGCAAAGGCCTTAGGGGGGAAAGGGGAGAAATGATCTCAACAGGGAAAGGGGTGGAAAAGATCTTAGGGAGGAAAGGGAGAAGATCTGGGGGAAAAAAGGCCAACAGGGACAGGGGGGAAAGATCTAAGGAAGGAGAAGCTCTCAGGGGGGGAAAGGCCCCAGGGGGAAAGGGTGGGAAGGATCTCAACAGGGAAAGGGGGGAAACAATCTTAGGAAGGAACGGGGGGAACTCCCTAAGATCTTCCCCCCCCCTTTCCTCCCTAAGATCTTTCCCACCCTTTCCCTGTTGAGATCCTTTCCCCCCTTTCCCTCCCAAGGCCTTTCCCCCCCTGAGAGCTTCTCGCTTTTCCTTCCTAAGATCTTTTCCCCCCTTTCCCTGTTGGCCTTTTTTCCCCAGATCTTCTCCCTTTCCTCCCGAAGATCTTTTCCACCCCTTGCCCTGTTGAGATCATTTCTCCCCTTTCCCCCCTAAGACCTTTTTGCCCCAGATCTTCTGCCTTTCCTCCCTAAGATCTGGAAATGAAGGGGGGAAAGGGGGAAAGGATCTCAACAGCGAAAGGGGGGGAAAGATCTCAGGGAGGAAAGGGAGAAGATCTGGGGAAAAAATGCCTTAAGGAAAGGGGGGAAAAGATCTTTGGGAGGAAAAGGGAAATCTTTCTCGGGGGGAACAGGCCCTAAGGGGCAATCGGGGGACAGGATCTCAATCGGGAAAGAGAGAAAAAAACTTTGGGAAGAGAAGGGTGGAGATCTTGGGGGGAAAAGGCCTAGGGGGGAAACGGGGGCAAGGATCTTAAGCGGGAAAGGAAGAGATCTTAGGGAGGCAAAGGGAGACGAACTCAGGGAAAAGGACTTAGGGAGGAAAGGGGGGGAAAGATCTTTGGGAGGAAAAGGGAGAAGAACTGAGGGTGGGAAAAGGCCTTAGAAGGAAAAGGGGGGAAATAAATGATCTCAACAAGGAACTGGGCAACATCCCCAGCATCACTTGCATCATCCGCATCCTTGGCAGGCGCTGATGCGGATGATGCAGGTGATGCTGGCGATGTGCCGCTGGAGCTGCTAAGGATGTGAAAGCGCACCCGGGGGGAATCGAACACCCCAATGTTTTTGAACAATGAACAGATTTAGTGAAGCGTCTTCGAATCACCGCGTGGTACGTGGACACCCCCCCCGCAATAGTCTGAAATGCTGCCCCTGGGGAGGGGTTAGGGGAGGGGTAACAGGTAAAGAGGTAAGGAGCATTTCTCATGTAGGGCCAGAGTGAGAGACGCAGCAGAGGTGCAGAACAGGCAACCTGAGTCAAAAGGTACCAGGTTGCACCACATTTGCATGCTCGTGCCATGAAGGCTCGAGCTGAAGTAGACAGTTTCACATGACGGCCTCCAGGCCATGGATCGCGGAAAACAGGGAGTCCGCGCCGAACACGATCACTTCGACTTGGATAGCCTTTAGTCCCAATGCTATCAAAAGTCAGAGAATTCATTTCTGACCACGGGGATGTTCCTGCGACGCAGCGACAGGGCACAGGCCAGGGTTGGCGTTTACAAAAGCCCCCCATGTTGTTCTAATGGTGGACAATCCCTTGCAAGTGGTAATCTTCCAAACACCTCGAAGAAAGCGTTTTTTCCAGAATCATAGAAGTCGGCAGGTTTTGGAAGACGTTTTGGGGAAAGCCCCATGTCCAGCGGGTCGAAAGCTCAAACGCCAGGAAGCGCTCGAGGAGGAGGAGTTGAGCAGAAGGCTGCGGGAGGCCATCGCGAATGCAGAGCCTTCCACTCCAGATGGTCTCAAAATGGGGTTGTATAAAAAGGGGGCGTGTACTGCTTTCGTATTGTGCAGTTCCTTTTTTCACAAAACATGCAAAACATGGTGGACCCGAAAAGGGCGTTTTCTGTTTGGAATCCCGTCGAAGCAAATATGATAAGGGTACCCTCAAAAAAACATCCAATGAGAGGGAGAGCAAGAGAGGCAGAGTGGGAGTGAGGGTGTGTGTTCGGGTTTGTGTGTGTGTGTGTGTGTGTCCTGGTTTAGTTGTGTCAAGGAATGAGGGTATGTGAGTTTAGTGTCAGTTGTTTTCCATATAGGTATTAAAATGGAATGAACACATCAGGATGAGCTGAACTTTTGGTGGCTGGGTGACTGAGCGGCCATTTGCTTGTTGTAAAAGCTGTTTGTGCGTGTGAGCCACGGCAAACCGCTTCGGCATATGACAGCTTAGTCACATCCAAGTCCATCTAGCTAAGGAACGGCAAGCAGGGTCGGCGCAGGAGGCTGGTCTTCCAAGGGCCTCCAGTCAGTTTCCATGTCAGTCGGTGGGAGGGTAATTAGTTGGCAGAACATCTCTGTTACAGCAGGTTTGTGAGGATCAACAGTAAAGACCGTCCTGTGGTGCCAACGACGATTCTTTGGCACTGTGCCCAAGTTGTCAAATGTGTCGGCTACGACCATGGATACTCAATGAGTTGTCTTTTGACCGTAAGGCACGTTGAACCAGCTCTTTTGTACCTCCGATAGCGGATGAACCATCCTCAGCTTGTCTCCTTTGAGATTTGACCAGCGCGCAAAACCATTGGCTTCGAAGTGTGGGGCACCAGGCTCCAGAGCCAGAACCAGTGCGGGAGAAGGTGCAGAGCAGCTTGAAAGCAAGGCATCAACTGAACGATTGGCCAAGTCAGCTCTAATTTCTTTGACAGTTTGGGTGAAAGCAGCTAGCACAATCTTTATATGGTGCAGTTTTTGCCCTTACCCGCATTGAAGGGAATTGGCGCACGCGAACTGTGACCTTTCCCTATGTAAGTTCCTTGCAGGCCTTGCCAGCTGATCGTATCAGGCTTCCAGCATGTGATGTGCGCCCGAGCAGTTCCTTCCAACTATATAATGCCGGTGCACACGGGTTTCGATTCTCAGCTGCTGCTGCTGCTGCTGCTGCTGCTGCTGCTGCTGCTGCTGCTGCTGCTGCTGCTGCTGCTGCTGCTGCTGCTGCTGCTGCTGCTGCTGCTGCTGTTATTGTGATGCATGCTGTTGTGCTTTCCTGTTGGTTCGTGTTGAATATTCCAGTATCGTTACTTGACTTTGTGTTTTGTTTTTCGTGTGCGTGTGTGTGTGTGTGTGTGACAGTTGAGATTATCACGGCCACATCATCAATGCTGAGTGTTCTTGTTGTTTCGACATGCCAGCAGTGCTGAGACGGGGCAGTATGGACTGCTCCAGAATCCATTGGCCAGCGAGCACGGTATTTCAAGCCATGCTTCCAGACGCCGAGCCTAGGTATGAAATTTGAGGAGTCTGAGATTTGCATCTCTGCTGCAAACGGACTTTGCTGGCGTTCCGCTTGATGATGGTCATGAGTTATGATTGCGACAGATGTTGTTTGGAATCCTTGCAGAAGGGACAGATGGAAGTCGTGCGTTCATTTTGAGCAGACCGATTTGTTGTCCATCCAGCAAAAGTTGGGTTCCGATGCGCCCCTAGGTTTCTTCATCATCGACGAAAGCGGAATCACCGAAGACTTGTACCACAGAAAGCTGCAGACAAAGGCAGATGAGGGGCGTGGTGCTGGGAGAGTCCACATGACTGGAGCCATGATCATCTCTGATACCGCAAGTGGTGTTCACCAATACACGGCATATGCAAGTCGTGGCTAGCCAGGTGTGTGCAGATGATTGACTTAATTCAGGGAGTCAGGGACCTTGGTCCATTTGCTGCGCAAGGAAATATGAAAACGATGTGAATGAATTGTTGCTGTTAGCTCTCCAGGTTGATGTTTCACAAGGCAGCGGAGCTGAAGACTTGCACAAGCTGTGACAGGTTGTTTCCGCAAAGCATCATAGCCATGAAGGTGTGTGTTTCAGGCATGTGTTGACGTGGGGACTCGGGAATTCAATATTGCGCGGATCGCAAAGTTGCCATAGCAAGGGATTTATTCAGTTGAGACTCTCCAGAACGTGTGGCTCAGATCCGTGAGAGCAATCAGGAAAGCCCACATTTGTTGCAAGTCAAACTGCATGTCCCTCTTGCACTTCTGTCATGACCATCCCCGTTCACGCGGGGCAAAAAGGCATGTTCACCTCTTGTGAATCCGAGTGCCTTCCCGAATTTGGATAGCTGAACCTAGCCCATATCCAGTAACTGATGACTGGTCATCGGTAAATGACAGGGCTTCCAACCAGTTGACTGGACAAAATCTTGCACCAGTTGGCTCTCCCAGTGTTCAGAGGGGTGTCTTGCTAAGTGCAGGATGTCCGTCCACAGGTACCGTTGCCCTGAATATTGCAAGTAAAGATACAAGGAGTCCCTCGAATTTACCGAGGTTCGGCGTGGTGAGTATGGTTTGTCTACTTGCAATATTTGGAGGTGTCCTTTTTGGATACCCTTCTTGGGCTTGGTTTAAAGGTAAGCCAAATGGAAAACCGTCATTTTCTGGGGGGGGGGGGGGGCGGTCCGTATGATGAACACGGGTCTGAGTTGCGGAATTCGTTTTGTTCGGGTTCGTGGCCACAAACTAAACTCTGGGTCACCTAGGACGCCTTTGAACCAGTTTATGCATGGCCTTGGAACTTTATTTGGTGGTGCAAGTTTTGAGCTACTGTAGGACCACTTTTATGAATAGTTCCTGGACATGTATTAAATAGTTCTGAAGGATGCTGACAGGCTCACAGACAAAGAGGCCAATGCCCGTCCCAATCTGGGTGTCCATGGCACGGGGGGGGCATCCACCCGTGGGTTTCGTTGCGAGGACTTCGATGGCCCCAGCGGCCACAAAGCCCGCAAGGCGAGTTGCCTCTGGTGCGGCGAGGCGCGCAAAGAAGAAACCTCCGGGACACCCAGAAACGAGGGGGGTACCCTGAAAGAAAATGTCTTTTTAGGGGATTGATAACCGAAAATCGTGTGTTTCCTTTTTTGGTTTCCCCGTAAGGTGGAGGCTAAAAATCGGTGTACATGATATCCACCAAAAGGGCCCCCAAGTCAAGAACGAATGGAAAGCCCTATTTTCCAGCCCCAAACCTGTTGCTTTAACTCGGAAAAAGCGAGTGCCAAACGACTTGAATCTGGGACCCCTCGGACCCCTCTTGGTGTCGAAGCAAACCATTTGGAGGGTCCATGAAACGCGCAGGACTCAGACGCAGAAAGCGGCGAGGAAGATGACTGGAAGGATCAATGCGACGAAATGGCCGCAACTTGGCGAGTGACTGCTCCATCGCCATTGGCACAGCTGACTGACTTTGGCATGCCTTGTTAGAGCTAGTGAGTGACAGGGTTTAGAGTTGTGGTCCTGCAAGATGGTGGAGACATTTGCCGAGGAATTGATGGGCCAACAGAGGCAAATGGTACTGTGGTCGGGATCTTGGTAGAATCTGGTAGCACGGACGTATGGCAAATGGGTGCTTTGCACGTTGTTGCGATGCCCACGCTTTTGCGTGCGTGTGAGAGTGGGTGAGAGTGGTACAATCCTATTGGTGTTGAATTCGGCATGGCTTGAAGTTGATGGAACGTGCTGATCAGAGTGGGCTTCGATAGAATCCCTGACAGCCAAAGGCTTGACAGCTTGCATGATTAGTCCCGTGAGGGAGTGGCAGAGTTCCATTGCATCGGATGCGGCCGCGGATAGAGATCCCGCGCTGCAACTGCGGATGTTTCACCACTTGGACCACATGGGTGTGTTTCTTTTGGGGGGGAACCGGGAAAACCAAAAGGGGGATCCTTTTGGTTTCACCTTCAAACCGCAAGGGGGGGACCTTCAAAGGCGACACGCGCATGGTGAGAGTCAGCTGGGTTGTGGCGAGAGGCTCCAATCCGGCGAGCCTGGCTCGGTGCGAACTTGGGCTGAAACCCAGGCTTCCTGTCAAGTGGAACCTGGGTTAAACCCAAAGCAGAGACATGGAGAGAAAGAAGGAAGCATGATCTTTACATATGTACAAAGATACAATTGTATATATGTACATATATGATACACAGAGAACAAACAAAAGCACCTTCATGTGGCACCTCGCCTTTTCGATGTAGCTTCAGGGCAGCGCATTTCCAAAAGTCAAGCCTTCCCTGGAAAGGGAGAGCCTGCTGCGCGTAGGGTTGGCATTTGCATTGGGCCGACATTCAGCCTGTGTTGTTCTTTCACCGAACATGCAGGATGGCAAGGGATCGGCCAATCACCTGTGCACGTCAGATGTGCATCCTGCAGCGCATCTTAGATCAATACGGCTGCGTAGGGTTTGGTGGATTTGCAAGGCTACCAGTTGCCAGGATGTTTCGTGTTAGACGACAAGACGCGGTATTAAGGACCTTGGGTAAGGATGAAACATCTGGAAGCGAAGAATCACATTCACTGAGGCAACACCTGGCAGAAGAATATCATGTTCTTCCAGGCGTTGTGATTCATTTGTATTCGCCAAGCCATCCCATCCCCCGCAGATGTCTTGCCGGGCGATTTTTGAGGAATGCGGAGTCGCTGGAGGCAACTTTTATCCTGTTCACTTAGGAGCTTAGTGCTTTCAGAATCTCTTGGCATCTTGTTGCAGAGGCAAAACAAGGCTAAAGCAGCCATTTGCCGGGGCTTCCCTATTTGGCTGAAGATGAAAGCACAACCCGTGGATATGTCACAAAATGTGTTGTTTCCCCCAGACTTGTCGTTACAAGAAGTGACTGCAGGGGTTGGATTGCAGTGTTTGATCAACTAGATCAACTAGCCAGCTACAGGGCTTCATCTAGGGTAGCCTTGAGCTATTTGCTTTTCTCCCAATGGGGCACCGTGAATCAAGCGCAGGATCTCTCTTGCCAAATTGATTTCTGGCCCCACACTAAGCAGGTGGGGTGGTACAGCTGCCCACATTTGACAGTGGAATTGGGCAAGCGCTTTGGGAACTCCCCAGAAGCGCGTGAGCGATTCAGGAGCCGCGCTCCATGGGTCAGCTGAGCATGTCGCGAGACCGTCACAGACTGCGGTGACCTGCGCTGGCAATCCAATTTCATATGTTCTTCATGAGTGCAAACAAGTAAGTACCATACCATGCCTGTCCATTCATTATTAGATGTCGTACTCAAAGAGAAGAAACGATGCTAGAGAACAGCCTTGGGCTCTTCAGCCGAGCAACCAACCGCTTCACAACTTTATGGGAGATTCTGCTGGCGGCGATGATGCTGTTGTTGCTGCTGCTGCTCATCATGATGGTGCTGATGGTCCTGGCAATGCTGGTAAATTTGATGCTGCTGGAACTGCTGAAGGCGATGGGACTGATTGATGAGGCTGATGCTGATGCTGATGATGATGTGGTGGTGGTGGTGGTGGTGGTGGTGGTGGTGGTGGTGGTGGTGGTGGTGGTGGTGGTGGTGGTGGTGGTGGTGGTGGTGGTGGTGATGATGATGATGATGATGATGCTCATGATGCTCATGATGCTCATGTTTTTCATGTCGCGCGTGATGCTGATGATGCTCAGGCTCAGGTGCGCATGATGATGATGATGATGATGATGATGATGATGATGATGATGATGATGATGATGATGATGATGATGATGATGCTGATGCTGATGCTGATGCTGATCATGATGATGATGATGATGTTGATGATGATGATGATGATGTTGATGATGATGATGATGGCGACGACGATGGCGACGCCATGATGATGATGATGATGATGATGATGATGATGATAATTATTATAATGAAGATGATGATGATGATGATGATGATGATGATGATGATGATGATGATGATGATGATGATGATGATGATGATGATGAGCAGAAGAAGGAGGAAAAGGCAAGATGACGAAGCAGGAAAGGAGGAGGAGCAGGGATTCACCTGATGTACCGTTGGCATGCATGTGCTCAAGCACCTTGAAAATGTGTGTGTGTGTGTTGAAGAGACACCGAGGTGGTGGGTGACTCATTAGCTTTATCCTTTCACAGTTTGCTTGCGCTGACATGCTGTCGAATCCATTTCTGATGGGATGTTCCAATCCGCAAGGATGATGCGAGCGCCTTTGCCATTCGACTTGATCCGGTGGTTGAATGTGTTTCCTGTGAGGGGCAGATGCTAAGTGCTACAAGGAATCAGACAACGTATGTGTTCTCTCATAACATGCACTTGCGGAATGGGACGTTTTGCAGTCCCAAGCCAAATCCGATGGCAACCGAGAGAGCTGGGGCGCATTGGCAATAAGGCAATACCCGCCAGTGATCCAGGCGGATCGAGATTTGCGGTTTGCTTCATTCATCTGAACCGTTTTGAGCACTATGGCCAAGCAAGCAAAGTGGGGTTCCTCTTGGAAGGGATTTTGCGTGCCCTCTCTTGCAGTGCCGGGCTGCCCCAATAGTGTAGTACCCCTTCGTTTTCCTGTGAAGGATGTTCGAAGAGAACAAAATGCCATTTCAAGTCTGTTTGCGCTGCAGTTTCTAATTCATGCCGGGGGGACGATCCATGAGCGCGCAGACGTTCAAGCTTGCCACCGATAACCGAGTTCCATGTTCTCAAATTGCTCGTGTCCAAGCATAGGGCCCGCTTTCGGAACCCGTAGTTGTTTCTGTTTGCGCCTGGGTATTGAATTTGTCAACTCCCCAAATGTGTTAGGAAGCAAGAATTGCAAGCCGAGCCTGGAAGACCAGCTGCTCTCGCCTTTGGAGTGAATATCCAAAGTTCTGTCCAGAGTAGTGGCACTAGCAGAAACTGTTGCGGAGCGCAACGTGGAAAAGGCCGCCTTGCAATGCGCCCAGCACAGGTGTCATGGGTTCGAAGCCAGTCCCCGACTTGGCACGAGGCTAAAGTCTTGCTGTCCTGTGAGGTTCTGATACCTTCTCATAGCAAGCCTTTAGCCTTTGCCTTGATATGGCCCAGAAATGGCGGGCTCCTTTGCTTCTTTTGACACACAGCCTCCGGCCAGGCAAAGCCGGCGAAGGCAGCAGTGCAATCGCCGCAGGCGAGAAATCCGCGGAGATTGCCCTCTTTCAAAGAGAGATTTGGGTGTGGCTCAAAAACTGGGGTCCAAAATGGAACCCTGGTATATGGATAGGTAGACAAATTCCTTTGTAACCCCAGCGGTTTAATTTTGAGCCACACCCATCTGGCCACGGAGATTGGGAGCTAATGAGCTCCCTCCACGTGGAATAGGAGGTCTCCTAGGAAAATGGTCTTCCAGCCATCTCTAACCAGGTTCCATGGTAGTGAGTAAACGGAAGCAGAAAGGCCGTCAGTTTGGACTTGGCAAAGGGCTGAAGGGGAATGATTGGGTGCTTGGTAAAGGAAGTCCCTTGTTGGTTGCTTCCTGAAGGGAAACAATGGTAAATCCAATGTGTGGAGACACTTTGTGGTTCCTTTTAAGCCACAGCTTCCGAACAAACAGCTTGAGAAATAAGAACGTCATGAGTTTGAGAAGTTTAACCATGTGACAGTCATCCCAAGCAGGATACACTAAGCCCCGATGCCTGCGGGCCCGGACCGCATGAGGGGGATGAAGAGCATGTCAACACCCCTGCCCCCCTTTGAAGGCAGCACAACGATTTGGAGAAAGTGAAGCGACTCAAACCCGTTATCCAACAATCAGGGAAGTGGACATTTAGGGCCTTTTCAAGAGGATGGTCTTTCAAACCCCGTCCACTGCCAAGATTGGAAGGGAACAGTTTCCCCGGTTTCGGTTTATGACATTCAGAAGAAAACATGCAAACAAACTGGCTACCTTGAGGTATACCTTAAGGTGACTTTAGATTAGTGACCTTCAGGCGATCAAGCCTTGCCTGGAGGTATACCGACATCTCCTTCATGGGAGTAAGTACTTGTATACCCCTGAAGTTTATGATCTCAAGGTTCGCTTTTCTACCTTCATCTTCTGACCAGGGTGTGGGAAATATCACATCTTTTTGTGGTTTTTCAAATGGGTCATCCCATGCTCATGGGACCTGTTGATCAACCCCCGGGGTTCCCATGGCGTTCCTTCACTCCACTCACTTACTCCACTTACTCCACCCCATCCCACCCCATCCCCCCCACCCCACCCTGAATCAAGGCCGAGGACTCCTTGGCCAAAGCGACTGCCACGGCCGCCACGACCTTGTCCACGGTCGCGGAGGCGGGGCTTCGGCTGTGCGTTGATGTTCTTCCTTTTGGCTGGGTGCCAAAGCTTGGGAAATCTGGAGGTCCCTCATAGTCAAGTTGTTTGGATTGTAATATTGAGTTGGAACTGGGATGCGGAAGCTACAGAATGGGTGATGTCCGGTTCGTGTCCAGTTCAAAGCATCCCAAAACAGGTACCCCTAAACAAGCATGATATACCCATACCTCTCCTTTGGCAGTTTTTTTGGTTGACGTCACTTTTGAGTCATCTGAGACCGGCCCAGTTGTCCAATGGCACCGGTTTTTCCTTTCCATTTTTCAGTGGCAGCATTCCAAAGAATATCTTGTGTCCAATCCTAAACGGGATCTAGTTCTGCGGGTTCTACGGGGTCAAGCGCCAAGACGCAACACCCCTTACATGCGCGCTTGTCTTGGTTGAAGATATGACCCGAGCTGCGCCGCGGACGCGTGACGAGCGTATCACGGCGCTGTGTTGGGCCCATTTGGATCCTTACGGATGTTTCAGACCGCCCGAGGTATTTAAATGCGGCACCGGGTGAACCTCAAGTGTCCAAACCACATGCACCTTGCTATTATTGGGACAAGTTGAACAGATGACGGCAACATGGACATGCATTTGACAGTGTGCGTCCCAATGCCAGAACAGAATTCACGACGAAACCAGCAGAGAATCAGACTATGTGTGATCAAACTCATCAGCACAGCGTTGCCTTGCAGAAGCTCTTTGCTGTTGGTAGGCTTCTTTCTGTTAAGCAAACAACCATGCTCCTCTCCAACTATAGTGCACGGTTCACATCAACAGACTTAGAAAACAGAAAGAGTGAACAAATATTTGTCATCGTGTGCGAATAGTTACAGTTGGATACCGTTGCAAACCTCTATTAAACAAATCAAACGAAACATCGAGAGCGAAAGGGTGGCAGGAATAGAAGGCCCGTTATATCACCTCAGTTTGATTCACTTTATAGCTTTAAAATCTACGTGACTTACACACACGATAATTCATAGGAGTACAAGGTGAATGCAATGCTAATGTTCAGTCATTCAGACATTTCTCTATTTGATACAGCACAAGGTGTATGCAAACTGCATGTCCATCTTTGTTGCCCAGACAGTTCGGACAGTATAGGAGGGCCAATCCAGCCAAAGCTAATTATACAACCATTTTATGCTATGTAAAGTGCGTCTGCTTGTGTGTGTGTGCGGTGTGTGGTGTGTTGTGCGGTGTGTGGTGTGTCGTGTGGTGTGTTGTATGGTGTGTTCTGCGATGTGTGGTGTGTTGTGTGGTGTGTCGTGTGGTGCGTTGTGTTGTGTGTGGTGTGTTGTGTGCGTGTGGTGTGTTGTGTGGTGTGTCGTGTGGTGTGTTGTGTGGTGTGTTGTGCGGTGTGTGGTGTGTTGTGTGGTGTGTTGTGTTGTGTGGTGTGTCGCGTGGTGTGTTGTGTGGTGTGTTGTGCGGTGTGTGGTGTGTTGTGTGGTGTGGCGTGTCGTGTGGTGTGTTGTGTTGTGTGTGTGTGTGTGGTGTGTTGTGTGGTGTGTTGTGTGCGTGTGGTGTGTTGTGTGGTGTGTGGTGTGCGTGTGGTGTGTTGTGTGGTGTGTGGTGTGTGGTGTGGTGTTGTGCGGCGTGCCGGCGTGCCGGCGTGCCGGCTTGCCGGCGTGCCGGCCGTCATGCGTGCGTGCGTGCGAGCGTGAGTGTTTGCGTGCGTGCGCGCGGGCGGGCGGGCGTGCGTGCGGGCGGGCGGGCGGGCGTGCGTGCGTGCGTGGGTGGGTGGGTGGGTGCGTGGGTGTGTGGGTGTGTGTCCGCCTTTTGAACGGCTTTTCCTGCTATGTCTCCGATGCCCTGATAGGTGAATACAGCTGGGGGAGCCTACCGGGTGATCCCCACACCGGGCTGGGAAGCCAAGTTCGGCTTTGCACCACAGGATCCACCAGGTTGGTCCTCAGGACCAAGTTGCTCCTACCAGAAACAGATTTAGTACGTTTTTGCTTTGGAATCATTTACAAATAGATTCGGCAAGTCAATGGGTGCTTGCGCATAATATGGAGCAAAGGAGTGCTAGGTGAATCCAGATAGCGCTGCCAAACCGTACTTGTCAGCTTGGGTCGAACCACGAAGCAAGCTTTGATGTTCAGCTCACAGGTGGCAAAGGCCATGAAGCAAGGCAGCTGATCTCAGCACATGACTTTGGCATGAATATGGCAAACTAAGTGAGGGTCTCTGCTGTTCAACCTGTTTGCAAGCTTTGGCTTTTGATCTCTATTGTTGTCCCTTAACGTGTGCCGGCGCTTTGTCCTTAAATGGAGGCAGGATCACCAGGCAAACCCGGCCTTGTTGCGCTTTGGGGCAACTAGCATCACCTGGGAAAGCTGAGGGAACCTCATTGGTGGGCTGATGGGCAGAGGAGGCTGGTGACTCCAAATGTTGGTCGTCCAAGATGCAACGCCAAGTTTTGGAAGACTCTTGCCCTCGGATGTTATAGTTGGAGCAGGCGTACGGGCAAAGCCCCCTGACAGCCTACAACTTTCAGACGGATGCAATCTTTGCATGCATGACCTTTGCTGAAGCAGTCGTTTGCAAGTGCTTAGCCGTTCAGCCGCTGTTCATGCAGGCACCACGATCACGGCCATCAGGAAGAATCACCCAGGTGTTACCATCAAGGCTGGAGGGCCGCATCCAAACAAATCCCCACATTGATGTCCGTGTGGTGACACATGGATTCGCGCTGATGGAGTGTGACCTCGGTCATGCGGTGTCGCGCGGTGTGTTGCGTTGCGGTGTGTCGTACTGTGGCGTGTTCTGTTGGCAGCGCTAGAGGAAACGAAGGATCCCACCAGATCCCAGTAATTGCCATGATCCCCCGACCTTCACAAACCTTGGTCGCTGTTGCACGATGCTGAGCGTAACCCTCATGCCAAAGTGAGCTGGTCAGGTGAACCAGCCGCAAGGCAATGCGCTGGCGCAGATCATTATCACTGGGGACCCTAAGATGGTGCCATCAGCTGAGGCTGGTGATGGGAGGAAGGGCAAATCTGCGAAGCTTATTCAGGATCCATCAAAAACAACTTCCAGACTTTGAACAAATGCAGGGTCGCGATGAGAGACATTGCTACCGCTGGTGCTATGTGAGCAGCGCCATAAACCCTGGCAATACAAAGTAGTAAAGGGGGGTGTCCTGTAGACCCCGCGAAAGCCAAAACGCAGGCCGCGAAGGCTTGCGAAGGCTTATTGCGAAAGTGCCTAAAGAAGGTCCCGCAGAGAAAGCCCCGCAAAAACCTGCATGTTGATGATGAGCGGGAGTTGTTCCAAATAGTCTTACACTTGGGGTGCACTGCCGTTTGTGGAACTCACTTTGCAGAAAGGCCAATGGCCATCGTCAAAAGAAACCTGCAGCTTCTGAGTTCATGTAGTCCAAAGGGTGTGTTTCAAAACTCTGCCGCGAAATCAACTCTAAAGAAAACGAAGCTGGCGCGAGAGCAAAACACGGGGTCGCGAAAGCATCACGAAAGAGTTCGCGAAAGCAAGTCATAGTACCGCTCTTGACACAAGAGTATTCGGCACGGCTTGTGATATAGTTTAGAGAGGTGTATCCTACTGTTTCCTACGGTAGAGACTCAGTAGTTGAAACAATTCAAGGGAAGGCAACAAACAAATGGGCATCTGGTGTAGGGAATGGCTTTGGGTAAACTCACAAAATTGCCACTACAAAATGGCTGTGGGTCAAGAAAAGGTACCCAAAATGGAACCGTGGTAAATGGAAACATGGACTAAAACCTGTGGTCCCCTAGTGGTTTAATTTTTTGACACCCAAATGGAGCTTCCCGAAGATTCCATGGGCCAGCTGCCAGTCCAAGGCGTTCCGTTGCCAGGTGGCAGTGTGCGAGGCTTTGATGAGCGGCCCCGGCCCCGCGGGCGCTCGAGGCGAGTCTAAACCTGCCGTAAGGTGCTTTGCATTGTGGAGCCGACGGCTGGGGCTAGCGTTTGTGCTGACTATGAGGAAACATTTTTGACCCATTCAGAGATATGCCCTGTACATACTTGCTTGTATTGCAGTTTTAGAGGGAGTAATGGGGAGCATTCAAACACGACACCTGTTTGGCAGGAATGGGAAGGGCTCTATGAACTGTGCGAACGGGCAAGCGCTTTGGCAAACGTTGATCTCGTCCGCCTCAACGGTCAGTGTTCTATAAAAGTGCAGTTGTTCTGCGACACGGCCACTTTTACTATGGGCACTTTGCGCCATCTTGAGTCATGACTGGATCCGCGGCCAGCCTGATCAGTTGCCATCCGTTTGCGCTTGCTTCCGCACAATTGATATTGGAAGCTCGTCCTGGGAGGACACGGGGCTCACCAAGTTTAACAAAAAAAAAAGAGAGCAGGGGCCTGACATGTCCCTTGGGGCAGGGGAACAAATTTTGACCGCGGCTCATGCAGGGAACGCTGGGCCGTTCTGAGCCAGGTCCGCGCTGATGCTTCCGACGTGCTGACAGGCAAGGTTTGGGACACGGGCTTGCATGTCTTGATGTACCTGTTCTGCCGCGTGCTTCCATTGCCCCTCAAGTGACACTGTTGCGTGCGAGTGCCAGGTGTCCGCCTTGAGCCATCGGGGCACGGGCGGATGCGGCCGGCCCATGGATGCCGTTTCACCGAAGCGTCCCACGGGATGTGTTCAGATGAACAATCAATATTCACATAGCGAAGGGAATGAACTCAATATACACTCACTCGATTACCATACAAAACTGGAGGCTTCTTACCAACATCAACTATGGACGCTGGCTTTGTGTGCCAGACTTAAAGCAAGAAGCTGCTTTCTTTGCGGAGCCCCTTTCACGTCGTTGCAGATTGACACGGGGTCTAGCCAAAATGCTCAAGGGCTCATTGAAAGCTCAAGCGACGGATGCTCGTACAATCCGAATAAGTGAAAGAACTCTCGCGCCGAGACATGCAAGGCCCTGAAAGCAAGTTTGATATGCAGTCCGAGACTTCCAGCTAGCAGTTGGGTGAAGGGCATCCCCCCACCTGGGGGGTTCTTCTTTTGAGGGAACCCATTTTTGGCTGGTTTTAAGAAGACACCAAAGGGAAAAGCACCCAATTTGGGGGGGTGCCCACACACAGACACACCCGCCTGAGTTTCCGAGCTCTCTCGGCCCCAGGCTTCCGGGGAACAAGCTCTTGTGCTTCGCAGAGGTTTGCGCTGAGCCCGGATCCCGGAGTCCAGTCAATAGGTGTCCGCCATTCTTCCCCAAACCCATTCCACAACCTCAAGGTGGTTCCAACAGGCAGAGCCATGCTTGCTGGTGCCCGCAGCAGCTCTTAAGCAGATTGTACTTATAAGTTATGCATATTATTCTTACGTATGTGTTTTCTTATGCATACTTTGTATGACAAAAGGGCCGTGCACAAGAGGCATCAGATGGAGTTGCTCAGCAAGCTGGTCGTCTCTGACTTCTGGGCGTGTATTCCTGCTTTAGGGTCTATGGGTCTATGTGAGGACCGCCTTCTGGGCCCAGGTGTCGCAGCGTGCCGGGAGAAGAGGTCCGGAGTTCTGTCGGATGGGAAAACGTGGAGGGCTTGGCGGGGTCGGCTTTGGAAGTTTGGATAAGTTATGAAGTTGGATAACTGGGTTCGGAGAAGCGGTCGGCTCCGATGGACTAGTTTGGATGGTTGGTTGGATGTTTGGATGGCTCGCTCTGTCCCCTCCCACAAACAGTCCGCAAGTACTTGGTTTTGGCTGCTTCATGGCTCCATGTTCTACATTCAGGAAAGTGATTCATGACACTCAGCACCTGCTCCATGGCTGACTTTTGTTGGGGATTTCTATCCACTACAAGTTGAGTGTGGCACGGGATGGGACTGAATGCAATGGACTGGGACTGCGATTGGATAGGATGAATGTCGCTTGACAACCCATGTCAGCCTCAGATGGGCATGTGGCTGTTTCAGCATGCTTGGCGATTGAGTTTGTTTGTGTTTTCAGCAGTGCCTTTAGCATCAAAACAGAGAAGTTTTTGGGAGGGGTGGAGGGCGAGAGAGAGAGAGAGAGACAGAGCACGGCATGCCTTGCAAGATTCTAGAAGCTTCTAGCTTGGCTGAAAAGTTCACAGAGCGTCCCTTCCCAGCTCTTATTGAAACAACCGCCGTTTAGTGGGTGTTCGTCACTTGGCAGGTCAAGCGGAAGGCACCGCGGCAGGCTCAAACAAAGGGATGGGCAAGCCGAGTTCTGTTGAAGTCATTCCCAACTGTACCTAATACCGATCTGAGACAAGTGGAACTGTTGCATGTTCAAAGTCTGAACGATTTACTTCTTGAGTTGACATGTGAGTTCTCACGCGGGAACCCCAAAATGATACCTTTGAGACAAGCCCAAAGGGGCACCCGCGAAGAGCGCCCCGCCCATGTGAAGGTAAAGCAAATCCGTTGCTTGCCGTCCGCAAATATGCAGGCGAAAAGCAAGCCCGCCAGCAAGGAGGCCCATGAGGGGTTCCAAGGTTTCGGGTTTGCAGAGGTTTGCCTTTCAATACAAAGAGGACCCGCTGACTTGAACTTGCCGGTGACCGTGTGGACCTTCTGGGTTCCACTTTTGGGATGCAAGGCAATTTCAAGCAACGTCGCTCATTTGGGGGGCAACTTGATGTTCGTTCACCTTAAGATTGCAACTCTGACTGATTCAGTGAAGGTGCGCCAGTTGGGTCTCATTCAGTTTCCCTCAGCCGGATTGAGACGGTCATAGCTATCTGCATGCATAGGCTGTAAGTGTCCGGGTTGTTTACAGCCTGAGCAGTGGCATTGGTGCAGACATGGACAGTCGGCATGCTGAAACACATTGAACCCATCCAAGGCCAAATAGTGGATCAGCTTGCAGATTTGATTGCCAGGCCGAAAGAGAAGGATCAGCTTTCAACAACAGCGTGTTCCTTTCGCTCTAGCCTCAGCAGTCCCAGTCACGATTTGCCAGGGAACATGATACACTGTCAGCCCAGGTCAGTTGCGACGGATGCGGACAAGGCCGGGGATTCCTTGCCATTGCAGGGCGCCAGCCCAATGGTTCCCATTTTTTTGATGGGTTCCTTAAGTCTAAACTGTGGCTCCAAAACAGGTTCCATTTTGCTACCAGGGTCAATGCCCTGAAGCTCCAGTCACTGAGGCAGAACCACCACTCCTGGAGTGAGCTTGGGCATGTCTGCCCCCCAGAGCGAGCCAAGCGATTTCTCGGAAGCTGGCAGGACCTCGTGTTCAACAGATTCACGTGTTCGGAGGAAAAACACCTTGCTCAAAGCTCCATTCGCAAGCAGTCATGAGAGCTTGTTTGGCTTGCAACTTTGGACAAATACACGAGAGAAAGCATTCGCGATCCCAAATTGCGGCTATTTGCAACATGCCAATCTATTTCAAGGCGCGAGCATGACACGTTGCATTATTACTTTGCCACACCAAGGATAATTCAACTGCGCAGATGCACGGAACCTCACTTGGTCTTTCAAGGACTGAGCCGATTGATTCTTCAGTATTGGTATCCTCCCTGATGGCTTCTAATATGGGCATGGAATCATTCATTCTTGCTGTGGATTTATAGATTGTGATCCACTGCCAGCTTTCAATTTGTCGTGTTGCTTTTGCTGCCCAAGCCATTGGTCTCTGGATCGAAAGAATCCGAAACGTCTAGCATGTCCTACTGAGATGGTCATCAGAATTGTGTTGATAACTTATTGCAATAGTTGCGGTGCGATAATGTATATACACTTGTTCCAAATTGTGCCCTTAATAGGATGCTAGTTTTGAATAATGATACCCCTTCTTTGCTTCCTTGCTGTTCCCCGCGATTGTCAGGACCTCAGTGAGTGGTGTCCTCTCCTATTGCATGGCCGCGCTCAGAGAAGCATCAGCCACAAATCGATTACAGAATCAGCAGCTGCGGCCGTGCAGTGTACAGCGACTTGCAAGCCTCGCATTTAGCATAGGCCCAGTTTAGAGTCAGGTCGCCAGTGGTTGTCACTGGATCAGACCCTCTCAATCTAATGTTTGATGCATGCACCCTCTTTCCAACAACCATGGAAGTTGACACGGGGCTTCCTCAAAAGGAAACTAGTCTTCGAAAACCCATCTGTCAGCTTCTGCGATTGTTGGAAGGAGGGTAGAGGGCCCCGCACGCGAGAACTTAAGTGACTCATTGGGAGATGGCATCCACCTGGCCTGTTTATTCGGGAGCGAAATGGGCCAAAGCGATCGGCTCTTGGTGTTGCAGCCGTCAAAAGTCCGCAGACGGCTTTGAGATCCGTAGAAAGCACATCCGAATATGTCCATGCATCAATTTGTCAATGGACTCAACAATACATGCGTACAGTTGCTGCGGATTTGTTTTGCCGTGGATGTGGCTGGTTTATCAGCAACCTTCCAGCGTGGCAGACTCATCCTGAACAAGGTGGTGCAGTCAAGGTGTTCGGGGCATCCACAGTAAATGGCTCGGGTGGTATGCAGATTGTACACAGAGCCAATACTTTACTGGATAGAGTAGTTGTAGTGTTTGGCAGGTCGCCTGGTGCTGACGAACTTGATCTCGCATGGTGGCAAATGCACCCCGTGAACGGCGCAACACTGCCTGGCTCGAAGCTGACGGGAAGGCAAACCCGAGGATCCTTATGGGTTTACTCCGACTCCGGAGTAAAGGACAGGATGCCTAGATGCTCCTAGGTTGGCAAATCGTTGAAGCACATGGCGGAGCGAAAGAGTACCAAGGCAAGTAAGTGGGTTTGATGGTTTGATGATTGTGTCCAATGTTTGTGGCGGTCAGTGGACTTCGGATGAATGTTGCAGAAACTCGCAGCATCATGCAGCAACCATCAAGGCCAGCCTAGCTGAAAGCAGAAGATTTCAACCGAAATTTGGCCTGGTAAGTTAGAGCATGATTTAGCTCGAACAGCGCCATGGCGAAGAAAGGCACTGAGAAAGTGGTCCTTGCCACTCACTTGCTTCAGTTCGCAGTGTGCGATGCATCCAGCTTCGTGCTGACTTGCTTGCGCCCACGCTAGTTGCTCCTGGCTCCTGGCTCGTGCAGAGGTGTTGTTTGTGTTAGTTTTCCCTGTATGTATGCGTTGGTTTGTGGCAGCTGAGGGAAGGGAAGCTCCAAGAACTTGTGGTTGGGCACTGATTGGTGGTGCTGGGTTGCTGGTTCGGTTGGATGCTTTGCTGTTGTCTTGTTGTTGCCCCTTGGTGTTCGCTGTGATCTCAGCAGTCTCACAGGTTTTCATCTATGCAAAACAGGGGCTAGTTGATCACATATTACATACAATGGTTCAACCATGCTATGAGACACACAAGGTTAGATTAGATGAATGTCAGTCCTGGGCATAGACCTCTGAATGGGCACTGCTTGGCCATGGTGTACTTTATCCCTTCCTTTTCTCAGGGGCGCCTTTTTTAATAGTGCATCGAACCGTGGTTTGCCATCCATGCTCGCATGGTACTCAGTTGCTTTTTGCCATTGGGCCAATCCAGCAAGTTCTCCGTGCATTTGCGCCGGGGAGGCACGTTCAATGGCAGCTTCTTCAGCAACTTCGCATCACGGTCGCTGGCCTAAGAGGCATTCCTTCGAGCGGTCGTCTTTAGAGAGTCTAAAGTTAGGGACGCGTGAAATGTGTCAACTCTCAACGCGATCATATGCTCCGATTCAAAAAACATACAGACTACCCCGATATTCCGATCTAACAGAGAAGTAGCAACAACGCAGTCCATTTGTCTGAACAGGTAGTTTGGCTTGTCTTTGGCACTCCGTCTTGCTTGTAATCCTTATCAGGCTCGGAATTTCAGTTTGCGTCTATTCCTTGTCAGTGCTGACCTTTGTTTCAGACCTAGCACATCGGGAGGGTTCCACACTCCTGGAAAGGCATTGCTGGCTTACTGCCTTAGTGGCTCTCTAGTCCACTCCTCTTGCATGGTCAAATTCAGAGCTTAGAAGGTGGAGTTGCAAACTCTTGGCACCAGCATGACTGTTCTTTTAGCTATTCCCTAGGGCCCTTTCCAGAGAGAGTCACAGCCTAAGTACTGAGGTTGCACGGCACGCCGGTGCGCTTCGGCCTGCTCCTGGGCCAACAGGCAAGGAGAGGTTGAGGAGAGCTGCGGGTGAGGGGAAATTCAGAGACCCATGCCCTAAAAGGACCAAAGCGGATTTGTATTTTGGTTCCCAAGTCGTTAGCTGTGTGTAACACCGTGAGGCTTTGCCCAGGCCGATGTGTACAAATGCCAAATCGGGAGAGTTCACCACTGCAGAAAACTGTCTGAGATGGCCAGAAGTGGCAGGCCAGAAGTGGCAGATGTCTCATTCGCTGGAATGCTTGGTTAAAAAACGACCAGTGTTCAGCACTGGCATGTCCGCCGAAAAATGCCACAACATCAGGGGATGTTTTCCTTTGGTGGTCCTTTCTAGAATCCCCTCAGTTGTTTGACCGCTGGAAAACGGCCAACACGGTTTCTCAGTGGCACCCTGTTTCACTTTGGTGGGCTCCCCTAAAAACATCCATTTGCTTAAGAGCATGTTTTATTTTCCCTTGCTGGTTTTATAGGGAATCTATCACAGCTGGGAATATGTTTTTAATGTTTTTTTTTTTTCCAGGGGGCTTAAGCAAATGGAAGAAAATGGTCAACCCAAAACGGGCTCCCTTTTTCTACCAGGATCACCAATTAACTCCCGGGCCGCCGGGATTGGCCGTCGGGGCAGGTGGAAGGCGGCCTGGGAGACGTGGTCTTCGCTGCGCCCACACCAGCGCAGCTGGGCGAGGCTGGGCGGATGGGTTTCCCAGCAGTTTGGGCAAACATCGGAAGCCCGGTGCGGGTTTCCTTTGGCTTCCTTTTGGTTCCTGGGTTTCCTTTTGGGGTCCTTGTTCCTTTTAGTTTCTTTTTGAGCCAAGGGAAAGAGGGTTCTGCAAGAAACACACACACAATTAATGCGGGCAGATGTAACCCACTACTTTAGCATGCCATCCTGTGGTTACATACTTGAAGATGGAACGTCGCAACAATGTGTAGCAAGGTGTGTATGTAGAATATACATGCATACGTATATCATATATATATAATATATATATATATATATATTATATATATATGTATATATGTACATATCTAGTAGCCTGCGCCATTTTGCATCAGCTTGTGCAAGCTTGCGTCAACTCACTAATGCTGCTGGGCGATTTTCCGGCATGTTGTGGTTAAGACAAACCTACGCCGGGCAGCCTCCAACGCGTTCAGATTCGGAGATGCTGTTGCGAAAGCTGTGGACAATCTGAGGCTTGGTTTGCAGAGCTTTATTAGCACGCCTTTGCAGAGTGTTAGCAGCGTTCCGCACAGCCAAGCGCGCAGCACTGTCAGAAGGAGCTCGGCAGGGAATTCGGGAGCATGACAGTTGCTTGTACGTCCCCCTGCAGGAACGACCCAATAAGCACTGCCAAGTTGGTGCAGCAGTCGGTAACGTCAAGTGTGCAACTTCGGCTTAGTTGAGACCGTACCAGAGCGGTTAACCTTTGGACTCACTTGACAGCCAAAGGAGAAGCGCCTGGACGTAACTTCAAGGTGGGAAAAACTTGACATGTGCCATGTGCAGGATGGTGAGCCAGCCGCTGTTCCCAAGGCGGGGAGAAAGATTTTGAGGGATTCATAAAGATCCGGGATTTCGCTAACAGGCAACTGGATATTGGTGATCTTTTGACATTGGCCGGGGGCTCTCTGTGAGGGCTTGAAGGGCTAGGTGCATTCGCCGAAAAGAGACTGATAACTTGCGAGCTGAGGATACCGCGGCACTGCTCAGATCATCTACGGGTGGTGTAGCCTTTGCCGAGTGGGCGGTACAGGCGCAGTGATGCAACGGGCTTGTTCCCATCCTTGGCACCTCTTTTGGGTAGCTTTGGATCAAAACTAGGACTGGGGACATTAGAGTGACTTCCTTTTGAGGGGTTCTCAAAATTACTTTGAGGAGGGTGTCACTTTGATGGATGAGAAACGCTTTTGCAAAGTCGATTTGCCAATGACGGGCCACCACAGAAGCAAAGATGCCATCACTTGAGGTAATTGTCAGCTTGCCCTGCTTGCTTTCCCAGCCCGTGTGCCCTCGACTGGGCCAGGAACAATCATGTCAATGCAGTAGAGAGAGTGAGGGCATTCCATGGTGTCAATGGAAGT